ATGGCGAGATGAAATACGACAGATGGCGTGAGGATGTGTTGTTTCGTGTGCTTAAGAGGGAAAAGGGGGGGGGGGGGGGGGGGGGGGGGGGGGGGGGGGGGGGGGGGGGGGGTGAATTAAGAATAGCTCCGCTTGACATAAACAACTTCGTGATAAAGCTGACGAGTTCTCCGGTCTGCCTAGACAAATGAAACGTGGAATATTTCTCAGCGGGGTGTTTCTGGGTAGGAGCCGTAGACCCGCAGCGGAGCTTGTACCATCCATCAATGAAAACGAAGCAGTCCCTAGGGAATAGTTTGGAATGTGATGCTGTTCATTGGCCCTCGGTCTCCGCCGACTGGGGAAACACCCTGCTGCGGTCACAATTCAGGACAAATACATGACGAATCCACCGTCGATCATGCAGCGACTAATGCCCCTGCCAAGGAAGAGCTGTCCGGTTCTGCTCAGGCTATTTTCAACACGGGGAATCAAGAGTTTTGGCAGGCGCAAATGTTCTAGAATAGGGCTGACGGTGGGTGGGCCAAGTGATCGACATAAGTGACGAGGTAAAATTCAACATCAAAGATGGTTTTTTTTTTCATGGCATGTACGAGTAAGCACTCTCATATGCAATGTCAGGACAGTGTGTACTCCACAGGCATGGAATCTTTCATCTCCATTTGTAGCGGTCCTTTGTCGTTGTCGAGTAACTACCCTGCCCGACTGGGCACGGTGGCCAGGGTAGGGTAACAGTTAGATATCCCTGTATATTGCCACCAACCAGGTCTCAAACAATACTAAGCTGCATTTTAACCTCCAAGGCGGATGCTTCGTGGACATTTTCCATGCTAAAGTGTGTGGTATACGTACGCCGGGTCTTGGCGACCGCGCCGCTACGATAACAGTCAGCGGAGATTCCAGCGCCGAGGGCTAAGCTCGAAAATTGAGCCAGCGAACATGCCGTGTTACTGCCGCCCGACCACCACGCTAATGACAGACATGTGAAATTGTTGGAGCAAACTCAGGGATTCCAACTTGAGTCGAAAACTCGCAAACAACCTCGAAGAAATCGGTGTAGGAGTATCCCGTACAGCACCTCAGTGTTGGGGTTCCAAGGTTCCAAGGTTCGCCAAGGCGATGATGTAAGCATCCCGAAAGGCTTGGCAATTGCTTGCTCTTCCGAAGATCCGCCGGTGTTTGAGGCTGTGTGAGAATGTTAATATTAGTACTCCGTATTTCGTAGTCGTCGTGTTGGTTGCAAGAAGTGGGGTGCTGTTTTCCCTCACATTGCCCTAAGTTCTGCTGGGCGCATGCGCGTCCTCTGCATTCGAATACATCGGCTTGTAAAGGTTAGATACGATCTCGGGAGTAAAATCTACATAAAACAAGCCGCAAGCCAAGTCTGGAAAAAATTATTAGAAGATTATGGTACATGCAACTTCGTCAACATCAAGATAATGTCTCATAAAGCGTCAACGCATGATTGAGATAACAAGTAATTCTTCGGCGCGACGACCGAGTCCAAGCAAAGCAAATTGCGGGCTTGAGGTAAGGCCAGCACAGAACCAGTCTGGCTGATTAGACCTCTTGTTGAGTAACAGTGGGAGCTACAGCAGCCTTCTCGTCGATCATACCGATCTCGGCTGCGAAGGTGGTGTGAGGCTTCCACTTGGCGGAAGTGCGAGGAGTAGTCTCCTCCATCATCTTGTCGACTTGCTCCAGGGTCAGACCCTTCGTCTCAGGGATCAAGAAGTATGTGTAGACAAAGGCACAAGTGCAGAGAGAGCCCCAGATGAAGAAGACCTTAGCACTAAGGTTGCCCTTGTCTTCGTCGACCATGTAGGGAGTGATGACGGCGATGATGCAGTTCCAGAGCCAGTTGGAGGCGGTAGACAGACCGACACCACGGGAACGGATAGGCAGGGGGAAGATTTCACCAATCACGACCCAGGCACCGGGACCCCAGGTGCTGGCGAAGAAGAAGATGTAAATGCAGATGAATGCGATCATGGCACTGATAGCCTTGGGGTTGTGGCCATCGGTCACGCCGATGATGGCAACGATGAACTGACAGATAACCATACCCAAGGCACCCCAGAGGAGAAGTGGACGACGTCCTACTTTCTCGATAGCGTAGAAGGAGATGGGAGTGGAACACACGTTGACGATAGTGGTGATCATGCTCAGCAAGAAGGGGTTCTGAATTGTGCCCAACTGGGTGAAGAAGGTGGTTCCGAAGTAGAAGATGAAGTTGACACCAGTCCATCTGCTCTTACTTAGTTTCCTTATTCAAACGAAACGAAGAACTTGCTAACTTACTGTTGCATCATCTGCAGGGAGGTACCAAGAACGGTACGGCGAAGGTTGCTGTTTGGCTGCCAGAGGCTACCGGTGAAGCAGTTGAGCCAGCTAGTGAAGTAGCCGCCTTGAGGAATAGCAAGAAGCTCGTACTGGTTGTTTGCGTCGATCTCGTTCAGCTCGAGCTCAACGTATTCAGAGTCGGCGGGTTGACCACGAATGCGGGCCAGAACTGCACGAGCCTTCTCCTTCTCACCCTTTCGGATGTAGAAACGAGGGGACTCAGGAAGCAGGAACAGTCCAATGGCGAGGATCACAGCCCAGAGCATCTGGAGAGCGATCGGAATGCGGTATGCGCCGGTATCCATACGCTCTTGGGTAGCATAGTTGACACAGGAAGCCAACATCAATCCAATGGTAATACAGAATTGGTAGCCGGAGACAATAGCACCGCGAACCTTGCGGGGTGCGATCTCAGACATGTAGAGGACGATGACAGCAGACACAAAACCGATACCGAACCCAGCAATCAAACGGCCAGCAACTAGCAGTCCCAGGCTGCTGGCAGCAGTCTGTAGAACGACACCAATGATAAACACGAAACAGCCGGCGATGATAGTGGTACGACGACCGTACCAATCAGCTAAATCACCGGCAATCAAAGATCCAAAGAAGGTTCCAGCTGACAAGATAGAGACGATGAGCGACTTGCGGGAGGAAGGGATAACGAATTTCTTGGCGGGGGTGGTCAATGGATCCTGTAGCGGCATGGTCAGCTTCAAGCAAGTTCAAAGCTTTCGGGTGTGTACTTACAAGACCCTCGTATTGCATGATGAATTTCTGCATTCCCAAAACACCGTTAATGTAACCAGAGTCATATCCGAAGAAGATACCACCAAAGGCAGCAAAGGCGCACATCAGGTACGCCTTGAAGGTGACCGGAGCCTCGACACGCGAGGCATCCGCGGCCGCGGAGATGACACCGCCACCAGGCATGGTAGGAAGTTGATAAGATCTACGTAAGAAGTTTTCGCAGTCTATGTCAAACCGAAGATGAGGATGGGGCGGATCCAAGTGAGATCTGTTAGAGAGGTATCAAGAAGAGATAGTGGTCTATTAGAAATAAATTTGAAACTAGACGGGGATGCAGGGAGGTTTATATGCAGGGCACTTGGTCTGGGAAGTTTTCCCTGTGTCCCAAAATACCCCAAAAATACTCGTAAAAGTATAAACCTCTCTAATCCAAGACTGGATGCGTCGGCACGAAATGGAAGAGTCAACATCGGCTGAAATGCTTGGACGGGGGGCGTAGCCAAGTCGGCCCTGAACATACCATCGCTTGCATACCACGCGACAATTGGGAACCCGGGGAAGCGTGGCACGGCCCAAGCCGTGAGGCAAATTGTGCCTTGTGATTGGCTGAACGGTATGGAGTTCAGTGTCCGGGGGGAAAATCCATGATGGATCCCACCTTATGTCCCATCCTTAGTGAGGTGGTTGGTCAGAATGTCACGTCTAGAGCCATGGGCAGCCAAACAGAGCCTCGGGTCCAACCCGAACCCTCATTCGTCTCCTTTCGTCGAGTCCGGACCATGTCCCTTTCAGGCTGTGAGTCCGCGAGGGAGCCGCCGTCTATTGGCTCAGGGTCGTGCGCCACGTGCCTCGAAGGGATTTTCGCGGTGTTTTTTTTTTTTAGTTTATGTTTTTATTTGGCTCTTTTTCTTCCTAGTCATTTGCTCAACTGAATAGCAAGGTTTTTTTTTTTTTTTTTTTTTTTTTTTTTTTTTTTTTTTTTTTTTTTTTTTTTTTTTTTTTTTTTTTTTTTTTTTT